ATGTGGGAAACATGTCGTCCGACACCACAAACACCACTCAATCGACGACTACTTATACCTCTGGAGTAGAAGTCATTGAATCCATGGGTTTCGATGAGTCGGGTCTCCAGTGGTGTCCCATAGCTCTTATGGCCCGGACTTTGATTTATATGTGTTTGGCTTATATCGGCTTATGTTTGAAAGTCAGACACAAGTGAATGATTATTAATAATAATTTATTATATTAATTAATTATAATATTTCTTACAAAGTATATACAAAGTAAAACAAATTATGAGTTGTGTATAAAGTATTTTCTAAATAATTTAACAATTTAAAAATAAAACTTTATTTTAAATAATTAAAAAACAAGTTTAGACCATGTTATTATAATTAGTCAGTATATTTGTAATCTCTAATTACTCTCTAAATAATACTTTTATGTTAAATATATGTTCATAGGTTTGTGATAACTAAATGTGTTTTCAAAATATTTAACATTAATTTCTTCAGTAGATGAATAGCCTAAGTCTATAGTTGTCCCTAAATTGGTACTTGGTATGATTGGATTTTTCAAAGTATTATATTGGTGCAAAAGTTCTCGCCGAAATTGCCATAGAACGCAATGTTATAAGAGGCGAGAACTTTTGCACCAATGTAATACAATTATATTGTTTCATAATCTCATTTATATATTGCAGCTCTTTATTATCAAGGAAATCTCAAGGAAATTTGTATTGTTTTTTCTACATTCTCAAGGGATTTAGGTTTTTTAGTTGCCAACCCTACGCACTACACCACTCGACTATCGACTATGATCTCCAGGGATCTACTAACGAGTAGGTCTTACCGTTAGACTGACTTCGTTGGTGTCTTCAAGGGGTCCACTGTCGGCGGTGCCAAAGGTGGGCGATATAGTCAGTCCGGCTTCCCTCCACGGACTCACGATATCTATATAGCACTTTCATTTATTCAGTACTGCTCGGTCTGGACAGTTGTGCTTTTAAATAAAATAAGGTTTGGGTTTTAGCTGTACACTGAGTAGACTACGCCATTGCTAGTTGCGACTCATCGGGTTAGGGTGTCGACCGCCGGGACCGGAGACTGTCGGGCCTACAGATGGACAACATGGGTGAGCACTTAGCCTAATATACCGCCTAGATGTTTATAAGGGATAATTGGCTAATGCTGTGGTTATAACGGACGTAGAGGTCCGCCATAATGGTGCGTCGTATGCTCCCTCGATGCCCATAGGATATAGGGATTGGTTAGAATGGGGGTGTCGGGTGGAGTGCCCTCGTATTATACACGTGAGTACTACAATATTTCATCAAAACGCGACGATTTTTATCAATAAAATATTTTATTTAAAGGTATAAAATAATATTACAAATATACTAACAAATTATAATAACATGGTCAAAACTTGTTTTTTTTATAATCGTTAAATTAAATCTTAATTGTTTATTAGTTTTGTTTCAACTATCATTAAATATCTTGATTATAGTTTTGATTATAGAAGTTATGTGGCTTATCCAGTTAGACCAGCAACAGTACAGCCCCCATCGACCCACATATTAGTTCCGGTTATAAATGCAGATTCCGGTGCCGCCAAAAACAGCAGTGAATGCTAAGTCGTTGGACACACCAACCCTTTTCACCGGCATTTTCGCCGCCACTTCAATAAACGGATCGTTAGGGATGTTATTTGGATCCCAAGGGTAAGGAGCCATTGGACCCGTACTGTATTTTTTGAGTCACACAATATCCACATGTGTGTGTGTGTGTGTGTGAGAGAGAGAGAGAGAGAGAGAGAGGTGCAAAACACAACATACTTAAAACTATTAACTCGTATGCCTTTGGGTCCCAACTCAGTGGCCATACATTTGGTGAACATATCAATGGCCGCCATTGCCATACAATATGCTGACTGTCGGATTCTATCCATAAATTCCACATAAATTATAATTTAATTTAAGCATGATCAATTACTATACAGCTTGAGCGCTCTTATGCTGGACATGTTGATGATGGTGCCCCGGGTCTTCTCCAGGTGCTCCACACATATGCTGGTCATGAATACCATGGCCTTCAGGTTTGTTTGCATAGTCTTCCTATTCTTACCCATAAATGATGGGACACTAAAGGCGGCTCTTTCGTGATGGACGGGACAGTTGACCAGAATGTCGATCCGGCCGAACATCTCAATGGTTTTGTCGACCAATTTTCTCATGTCTTCCTCCCGGGTGGGGTCGGCCGCCATTTCCAATACCTGAGCGCCGGCATTGGGCACTCATTGGCTACAGTAGTGAGTCGACTGTCGGCGAACTGTCCGCTCACCACAACATTGGCACCAGATTTGGCGAACTCCATGGCTGTGGACACAGCCACGCCCGTGTTAGCACAAGTGACCAGGGTCACATTGCCGCTAAAATCGTATGAAACGGACATTTTAAATTAAATTAATAGTGATATATAAAATGTTTGTTCAAAAAAGTTATTATCACTAAAAGTAACTTATATTTATTAAATTGAAAATAGTTTTAAAACTTGAGTTATATTTATTTCTGGAAAATTACTTATTTTTCTATTCATTCAATATGAATACACCAAAACATTTGTATAAATACATAGAAAATGATAAAACATGATAAAATTGTAGATTAGTATTTTGATAGCTTTTAAAATATTAAATGGTATTTTTATTTGTAAATGAATATCAAATTAATGAATTAGTAATTTTTGATTTGTATTTGAGATGTTGTAAACTCAATTTTTGGATTAAAAGTTAAGTTTTTAAAAATTATTAGCAGTTTTAGGGATAATCTAATGGGTATTTATTGTATATTGTATTTCATTTAATAGCACACACTGAATATCGTATTTCATATTTTTAATTGTTTAATAATCATGTCTTATTCACAATTACCTAAAATTGATTTCATATACAAACACGACAAACCCAATTACTTGATATCCAGCAACTATTTCGTGGTTATCCGGGATAAGTCGCAATCATATATCTATTGCTGTCGGTGTAACCAAAAGTCATTACACGGAGTTTCGGTGAAGATCTTAAAGTGTGATCTCATCCGTAATGACTACTTCGATGAGAAAACCGATGAATTGGTGGTCACGAGATTTGCTGAGACTTGAATGACAGGTATTCGGAACCCATTAGTGATGACTTCCTGTTGACACGACTCGGACAGGGAGATGTCTTAGAAATTACCACCAAATCGGATGAAGATTGGGTTCCCTATCCATTGCAAGACGGGTGATGATAACAATAATAACTTTATTATTGATATTATTTTAATATATTTTTTGTGTTTTATTTGTAGATTTCAAACAGATTTGGACCCAAAGTCGAGTGAATTGTTGACAGAAAATAATGAATTGAAAGAAAAGTTGAAGACTTTGAAGGAATCCAAAGACACAATGGAAAGGGAGTTAAGGGAAGAGTTGAATGCTTTGAAGTCGAGGTTTATTTAATTATATTTATTGGTTGTATTTGAATATATAAATGACATTATGATAAATATTTATCTATAATTAGTTTAAATAATATTTTGGACCAAAACTCAAAACAATTGTCGAAAGAAAGCAATGAATTGAGAGAAGAATTGTTGACTTTGAAGGCATCGAAACATGCGATGGAAAGGGAGTTCTGGGATGAGTTGTCTGCCTTGAAGTCTGGGTTTGTCTCGCTATTCACAATTAACCAAGGTTATTTTGTAATAATCATTGCATTAATTGTATCTAATTCTCATAGTTTTCATAAAGATTTGGATCAAAAGTCGCAGGAATTGTGTAAAGAAAACCATGAATTGAGGCAAAAATTGGTTGCTTTGAAGTCGAGGTTTGTTTCATAAGTGTATGGATTTGATGTAACGTTGAAATAATTATTTATATAACTATTGCATAGTTTGCATAATATTTTGGACCAAAACTCGAGACAATTGTCGAAAGAAAGTAATGATTTGTTGGAAGAGTTGTCGGCTTTAAAGGCATCGAAAGGTATGATTGAGACGGAAGTGAAGGCATTGAGGGATGAAGTGATGGCTTTGAAGAACTGGAAGAATATTAAGGATAAGAGAGACCGAGAAATGGATGACGAGATTCAGTATCTTCTTATGTTTTAAGTGGTTTTGAATTAAATATGATTTGATATGTTTTAATGGCATAAAACAGATGTCCAGAAACTTATTGTACTTATGGTGGGAAGGGGTCACAAAATACAGCGAAGGCTACTTTCCTTTTAAAATATAGATATAATGTTTAATGAAATCTGAAATCATTTAAAAATGATCTCTAGATTTGTTTTATAAACTTGTTAATTGTATAAAATGATTGTTAATTTCTACATGTTTTAATAGTTTTATTTTTATTAAATTTTAATAGTTTTCACTATGTGTTCAAATAAATCAAATAATAATTGTTTAAATTCCCTTAATTTGTATCAATACCGTAGTCTTGCTATTATTAATTCATGTAAAATATATTTTATAATTATTATCTATTTAAAACACCAATGTTAAAATCATTTTAAAGTATAATAATACTTTTGCACTATTCATTTAATTATTGTTTCTTAATTCGTAGCTATTTTTAATTTATTAATATTTTATTTAATATTCAAATATAAAACTCAATTCATATACTCATGGAGTTTACCTAATAAAATCTCCACTATTCAGTTATACATGTATTTATTTATCAAGGAAAATAACTCAGGTTTGAATGGAAAAGTGAAAATTAATAAACTATTGATCAGTGTATTTTTCCCACATTTAACTTTTACAATTGATTAATGATTAATAATTTATAATGAGTCAAAACTAGTGACTTAACAAATTAATTTTTAATTTGTCAAATCCAATAGCCATAAACTAGTTTATAAGGTCAATTATAGGGATTAGTCCTTTGTTACAAAAAGTGTTTAGTCATATACCCAGTGTCCATTTGTCCATTTGTGTGCAACTAGAGAGTCAGTCGATTGACAGCACAGGTAGCTTTTGGTTGTATTAATTTAGTCTTTATTAACTCGCTATTAATTTAATTACCATAAGTTACTAAATATATGAAAATACAAATCTCTTAAAGATTTAGCAAATTATACCCAAATGCCTGACAAACGCTTCATCAATGTCTGCGTGAAGACAATGCCTTCGGGTTCACAAGACTTCAAAGTCTTCATCACCGGAACCGTTAAGACAATCGCAGACTTGAAATGTTTGCTTCAAAGCAACGGTATGTTCAACGAAGACCAGACATTTCTGATGATATGCGGCCAACAGTGCCGATACCTCTTGACCAATGAATGTCTGGTCGATTGGATCAGATGTGATGACGTCGTCGAAGTACAGCCTAAACATTATCGCGAGACTACCGGTGCTCATAACACCGACAATGATCCACAAATTGATAAGTATATTAAAATACATAATATTATTGTAGTTCTTGTGATACTTATCATTGCAATTGATTCCATAGTTTGGTCCAAAAGCTCAATCAAATCGACACCGAAAACGAGTCCTTAAAGGAGGAGTTGGTGTCACTGAAAGAGTTGGTACACCAGAAGGACAGGGATGACATCAAATGGATTATCAACGAAGTGTATGCTATGCAAGAGTATCTGAATGTCAAGGACTCGGATGAGAGAGTGCATCGAAAAGACGTACAGGAGTTGAAGGACTGGAAGAATATGAAGGATAAGGGGGACAACCTCTCGACTGAGTCATTGATAGCCATAAGGGAATGGCTAGAAGTGTCAAACAGGGCCTTCAAAGACCTGAAGCAAGTGATTGTCGATAAATTCATAGTCGATAAGGGATCGGATGGCCAATCACTGGAGAGCTGTGTCTGTCGGGCGGTGGACACGGATGTGGTGGACATGTTGTCAGAAATCTTAAGCGAATGCAAAAGAGCTAACCATCTGTTGGTCGGTATGAATAAAGATAACGACAATGCGATGTCTACTCTGGAGGACATCGCGGATGTGATCGATGTCACAGACAGTGATGATGGTGTCGAAGATGTGCCACAAAAAGTACTAGTCCGGCGCCTCCACGTGCATACGATCCGTAGGCTACCAAATGCCAGTCCCCGACAATACCGTCCCCATTGGCTACGCTGTACTGACACATTGGGGATACGACTATACGGTTACGGAGGGTTACCCCTCGTATTGTCAGTGGCGTAAATAGTAGGGACTGATTATTATTATTATTGGAACTCATATTATAGTTAATTGTTTGATAGGTTATAGTTTTTTGTTACTTACTATTTCATTTATTATACTTTTTGTGGTGAGTGTTTGTATTTATATATGATTTTCTTATCTAATCAAATAAAATGTATATTAAAGTGTTGAGTAGTCATGATATACCAGTGTTTGTGTGACATGTAGATTGTGGTTAGAATAGTGTACTCAAAGTGATCTAGAATTTCATGTATTTTATGCACTAATTATGTACTTGGTTCAAATATTCTTGCTTAATAATGTACTATTAATGTACTAATGTATTAATGTACTAATGTATTAATGTACTAATTCAATTAGTGTACTATTTTTATATACATTTTAAAGTATCAAATTTTTACTGAAATTTTTTCAAATATTTTTGTCAGTAATATTTGATTTATTTGATTAATTATCTGTACTTTCTTTTGATATTTGTATTTATGTTAAATTTATATACAATTATACGATTATTCTCATATAAATCATAAATTAAATAAATAAAACTAACAATATTTTAAACTCTTAAGCGTTAGTCACATATTACGTTCGCACTTTGGGGGGGAGGGGGAGGGGGAGGGGGTTGAGACCTTAAGAGCGCATAGAAATAATTTAAATAACGACATGCGAACGTAATTTTTAAAAAGGGTTATATATGAACAATTGCGAACAAAGGGGGTGGGGGTCAAGATTTTTCAAAAAAGTGCCAACGTAATATGTTAATCACACTTATAAGAAATAATTTTTCCAAGCTTTTCACTAGACTACTGTAATACAGTAATACTGTTTTTAACACAATTTTAACTATCCATGTATTCATGTTTATAGACAGAAACACACCTGATAAGTTATAAAACATTTAGATTTCATTCACATGTCATAAAATTCATAATTGCATTCCTGTACAAACAACCAAATTATCATTAAAATTACATATAAAATAATTAACATTAAGCATATTAACAGGTGTTCAGTAAATTAAATCTTATACACAAGTTGTTAACAGCATATGAATATTATAGTTATTTATATAACAAATTCATAAATAATAAAAGTTTAATTGTATTATATTGCACTTTACTTAAATAATATTAAAATAGCTATCGTGATGGACATTCAAAAACAACTTCAAAAACTAGTAGTAATTTATGTGCTCAACGAAGTGCTGACTTTTAGGCTAATACACCTTGCTATATTTGTGTACTTACTATTTACACAATATTATTACATAACTCTATTGTACCTAATTTATTTTTACATTGATAAAGATACTCCTAACCGTGGTATGTATCATAATTTAATTATTGCCAAAATATAATAATTCATGAATATATTATATAAATATATAGGTGATTTATTTAAAGAAAATTGATAATTTTTGATTCAAAAAAATCTCCCTCTTTCAGAAACTTGTAAAATAGTATTACTAGTCAATAAATGTGAACCAATTAATCAAAAGGTATATTACAACTATAGGTATAATATTACAACTTATATATTACAAGTACTATTATTATTATTATTAATATTAGGGTATAATAAAATGATATTTAGAGTTAACATGACTTTTGGTTATTGGCTCCACTAATGTCAAACTTTGCTACTTATTATACAACTAATAGGGAATTAATATCTATTGTAATCTTAAAACATATAATAGATGATAATAATAATAAAATATAACGTACCTAGGTGGTCGTTCGTGGAAGTGGTATCGACAACTTAGCATTTTTAGACATTTTGCCAATTATTTTCCACTGAAGTTAGTCAAAACCCATGATTTGGACCCGGATAAAAACTACATATTTGCATGCCACCCGCATGGTATAATTGCCCTTTCGCATATTTATCATTTTACGAGTAATAGTCCCAGCTTTCAACAACTGTTCAATGGGTTTACCGTCCGTATGTGTGGCCTTATGTGGAACTTTTGGTTCCCGCTCTGTCGGGATTCCCTAATGGCTATCGGTATTCAATTATTATACAGTATTATAAGTTACTATTAGATTCTTGATCGGTTAACCTTTTTACCATTTAGCCTACTGTCAAATATTTAGAAAGTAAATTGTTATTATATAACTTATATTATGAAATACTGTAACATTTAAAATAATTTATAAACCAATCCCTCATTAGTATTATACATTAAGATATAAAGTAGTTCAAAGTGGTTTGTTGGTATAACTGATATTATATTAAAATATTTTACACTAATAAACTAAGTATAAAATAATTATTTTAATTATAATAAAACTGTTGCTTGTAATCCAGGTCTTATATCGGCCAATAAATCTAGCATCGAATGGTGTGTGAGGTGTGTTATTTAGTCATATTGTACTCAAACACAATTAAAACAATTTATTTGCTAATTATATTGATTAGTGGCAAAGAGGGAACCGGAGGGCAAGTGGTGGTTGTGGTAGTGGGCGGGGGTCGTGAGGCCCACTACGCAATGCCCTATACTATGAGACTGTGTCTCAAACATAGGAAAGGATTTGTGAAAATTGCGTTAAAACACGGGTATTGTATGAATCATACATTTTACGTATAATATTATACTTACTCTATGCGATATTTACTCTGTAAAATGGATCTGTATTATATTTATGAACTACCAGTGCATCGTTGGTACCGGTGCTGGCATTCGGTGAAAATGAGTTATGGGAACAAAAAGTATTCGCAAAAGACTCGTGGTTTGGTAAATGTCAGCAATATGCCCTAGCTAAATGCTATGCTACCATACCGATCCTCAAACATATAGTTCCCCGGCGTATACCAGTTACCACAGTTGGTAAGCATTATACTATATGTGAAAGAATTGACATAAGAATGTTCTTTGATTTTGTGAACAGACTGTAAACTATAGTTAGGACTATAGTACAGGCAACTACCGGCACTAAAATCCATTTGATTTTAATATATAATTCAAGTTATATTCATTATTAATAAATTTTAATTAATCTTATTAGTAAAGTTATTTTTAATTTAAACAAATTAAAATTGGTTAATTATAAAAATATCTTGAATTATATATTAAAATCAAATGGATTTTAGTGCCGGTATTTGCCTGTACTCTAGTCCTAACTATAGTTTACAGCATTGAGTTCCACATATTACAAATTATTACAAATAGTAACACTTATAGCATTAATAAATGTCAATGCTACTTACATTTGAAACTCAATGGTTTACAGTCTCTGCTCACAAAATCAAAGAACCTTCTGATGTAAATCCTTTTATATTGTATAGTAATTGTATTGATACTTGTTTGCATTTAATTATTATAACTAAAATATAATAGTTGGAAAGCCTATAGACGTGCCAAAAGTGGACAACCCTTCCGATGATGAGGTCAACCGACTTCACAATCAGTATATTAATAGTTTGGAGAAATTATTTGATGAAAATAAGTCTAAATATGGTTTCAATGATGTAGAGCTTATTATTGACTAATTATTAGAAATTATATTTTTAGTTTAATTTAAATTTTTGAATTTGTGTTATTTTTTGTTTTAATTTTAGCATAAATTATTTAATTAAATAAATATAAATAATTATAAATCAATTTAATATAATATCAATCAAAAATATAAAGTTAATTACATTGTTTTTAAGGAATATACATGTTTTGAAAATGTTTTTATTCAATATAATATATATTGGGAATCAATACAGTAATACTTCGTTTAATACAATTTGAGTTTAATGTTTAAATTTTACTTATTAAATTTAGTCGTTAAATTAATTAATCAATTTGTAATTAGCAATTAGCATTCAAAAAGGGATCCTAATTTCCATTCAAATCCTAACCAGTTGTCTCACGTTTTAATGATATGTCAATCATTTTATTGCCTGAAAATAAAATTAAAATTTTTAAAAACAAATTAAAACACATATTATATGACATAATTGTGTACATATTATTCAAATAAGATAGGTAAGTAATAATAGCAAACTTTTTTTCATCGCTAACATCTTGGGGTGAATGGTAGGCCCCACCGGATAACTATTCCTCAAGTAATTGTCTCTCATATCATTGCTCATATAGTCCTGGTCAAAGGGCCCTTGGCAACTGACCCGGTATCGGTCGATACTTATTTTTAATATATAAAACATTTAATTACTAACAAACATAATATACAGAATAGTATAGCAAACCATTTGCCATTCATAACACTTGGTGTCGCCCTATACTGCGGTAATTCTGGTGATCGGCCACTAATTGAATAAAAATATTTATAAAAAATGAAAAAATCTTATCAATAATCATAAAACTACCTGGTTGATTTCAGCGGACCAAACTCATCCAGCAATCCCTTAGTGTTATAGGACACTGTTTTGTCCGCAGATGAGTCGACAAGTTTTGGTCGCACAGGTATTTCGCCGATAACTTCAATGCTTGTAGTCCTATGTATAACATATAAATTTAATTTAATTTAATTTAATTAAAATCATTTAACAAATCATGTCTTAAGGTATAAATATAACACAAACATCTCTGACTTCTTGTCCACAGACTTGCTATCATTGGATCGATATTTGTTGCCATCGGTGGTAACCCCGCCATACAGTGCTTTAACATATTCATCAATCGACTTATCGGGTCTATTAAATATAAAGCTTATATTTTGACCATAAAATAATACCATAACCAGTGTACATTACCTTTTGTCCACACAATTAGTTCCCATGGGAACTGGGTATCCAAATCGACCCCCACTTTGGGCAACACCTCTGAGCCCATCCAATGACTTCTTGTACTCATCAAAAGTCTTAGCTTTCATTTGATTATCAGTTTCTTTTTGTGGCACATCTTCGACACCATCATCACTGTCTGTGACATCGATCACATCCGCGATGTCCTCCAGAGTAGACATCGCATTGTCGTTATCTTTATTCATACCGACCAACAGATGGTTAGCTCT